CTGCACATATGCCCATACAGCAGGATCCTCCATTGGTATCAATGACGCCCCATAAAAGCAAATCGAAGATACTTCCGATAGTCTGGATGTATCCGGATGTGAAGGTAGGCGTCTCACAGGTCGAGGGACTGACTGGCTGACTGACTGACTGACTGACTGACTGACTGACTGACTGACTGACTGACTGACTGAGTTTAGTTTTACACCGCCTTTAGCAATAATCCAGCAAGATCACGGCGGGGGACACCAGAAATGGGCTTAACACATTGTGCCCATGTGGGGATCAAACCGGGGTCTTGGGCGTGACGAGTCAACGCTTTAACCACTAGGCTACCCCACGGCCATCGCAGGTCAAGGGAAATGAGAGGTCTAACCACTCTTGCCTCTGACAAAAAGATATCTCCTGATATAAGAACGTTCCATAAGTCGAGCAACTACGTCAGTTCTGACGGAGTGCTCAATGTAGTATGTTCGGCGCATGGAGATTGTCAGTCAATCTACAGGAGCGTTCACATTATAAACAAATTGTAGAAATTAAGTGAGGATCGGTGACCTCAGGAAAGGTTCTTTTGGCTGAACAAAATAATGGTGCGCCAAGTGGAGTGATATAAGTAGTAGATCGCTGCCTGGTGACAGTCCTTGCATAATGCAGTGACCTCTGAACTCAGTGCTTGAACTAGTCAAACCGTTCACGGGTGTTTCTGTCCGTCACCCTCAATAAGCAGTCTCTCTCGACTGGCTGTCAAAATCCCGACACATTCACTCTTACCGGGAATGGCAGCGTTCGTTGTTACTTGCATTTAAAGGCTGGACTTGGTATCCGATTCGTGGGACCCAGAGAATTCTGCAAGGGCACTTCATAGTCACTCTAATCGTCAAAATTCCGGTAAACAAGCAGTAATCTGCCATTTGCAAACGTTACACACGAGTGACAAAAAATACGGACAACATGGTCTTTGGTTAACCGGGCGAGTCGCAACCCACAAATTCCGGGCTGAGCTATGCTGGCTATTTGACAAAACATTGCTGGTACCATGCGCAAGAACTTCACCCATTTGGTATCTGACCAGAAACTTGCTTATCATGTAAAACAAAAGGAGCTGAAGATGACGAGCCATCTGCAACAATTGCACCAAGGGATACACAAACACGCTGTTACGAGTAGTCAGTAGTAACAACACTCATCGGAGCGTCGTAGAGTATTCCTGGCTAGCAAGCGTATCTAGTTATGCCATATCGGGTGGTTGCAGAACTGATATCTACACCGAAGGGTAGAATCGTTGAACCGAATCATTCATCAAAAGTGAAGATCGGATGGTAGATTAAATATGGAATGAGATGAGCCCCGGTCACGGAGGACTCTTGAGAACTGGGATCATCAGGCCGTCAAGTGCAGAGCGTGATATCTCTAGATGACTGCGCTACTAACATCACATGTAAATCAAATCGGTATGGTGAAGCACATAGCTACTACCTCTGTACATTGATCTTGAACGGCCAGGTGAACTGGTTCGACGATAGGGAGCTTTCGACCTGGTGAAACGGTACGAGCCGACTGGTAAATCAGTTCAGGGTGGTGAGCTGGAAAGTTGACGTGATCTGAATCAGTCTGATGTGATCTGAATCGTGACTGATCTGGATCGGTTCGGTAATCCGAAACAGTTAAATGATCTCAGCTGATGGAGAGAACTAGAACGCTCAGATGAACCGGTGAGGCGAGGTGAAATGTTCCGGCCGAGGTGAATCGTTTGATTGCTGTGAATTGAATCGATGGCGTGAACTGTTTGCGATAAGAAACAGTCTTAATATTATGGCGAACTGAGTCGATGTCGTATTCACATACGGCGTGGCGAAATGGTACGGTCTGGTGAACCCATTCGGTATGGCGAACCGATTCGGTGTGGTGAATCGGTTGGCGATTTGACGGTTCGGTCTGGTGAATCCATTTGGTATGGCAAACCGATTCGGAGTGGTGAATTGGTTCGGCAATTTGACGGTTCGGTCTGGTGAAACCATTCGGTATGGCGAGCCGATTCGGTGTGGTGAATCCATTCGGTATGGCGAACCGATTGGGTGTGGTGAATCCATTCGATATGGCGAACCGATTGGGTGTGGTGAATCCATTCGATATGGCGAACCGATTGGGTGTGGTGAATCCATTCGGTATGGCGAACCGATTCGGTGTGGTGGTGAATCGGTTCGGCGATTTGACGATGTAGATCGGATGTGTGAGTCAACTGGCAACACAGAGCGTTTTGATGAGGCGGAACCACGAGAAGACATTTAATGATGCGCCCATAAAATTATCACCATCCGACATGGGAAACTGCCTACGGACGACGAGCAGTTAATACCGGTCGTTAAAAGCGGGGGGGTGTCGGGTGATCAACTGTTGAAGTGTAACGAGCTCTGTCTTCCAGCCACCGGGAGCAAGCATGTCTACATGCTCTAAAAACGTCCTTAATAAGGGAGCACATTCCCGACGTTTTCTCCAGGAACATGACGATTGCGGATCCGAGGAAGTAAATATTGTTACAGTGTGCGCAAAATTACGCTACTGAGTCTAGACTGACAAGACGGGATATCCTGATTCACCTGAAGTGAATGAGACCGACTACGAGAATCACTCTGACGAAAACACACCGTACGGCTAGGTGAACCGGATCGAAATGGCCAACCACCTCGACCAGGTGAGACTGAACGACTACGGGAATCAAAACGCTGTGGTGAATTGATTCGACTATGAGATGGTGCGTCGATTCGAACTGAAACCTATTTTGAGGTGAACTGAGTCGGGAATGTGAACCCGTTCGTCCTGGTGAACCCCTTAGATTACGTGAATCAGTTCGGTCAGGTGAACCCATTCGATTACGTGAATCAGTTCGGTCAGGTGAACCCATTGGATAACATGAATCAGTTCGGTCAGGTGAACCCCCACGAGTACGTGAATCAGTTCGATCAACTGAACTCATTCGAGGATGTTGTGGTGAGCCGACTCGGCCGTGTGAGCTGGTTCGGCAGGGTGAGCCGGCTCGGGAAAGTGAACGAGACCTCGAACGACTCCTCCCAGCCGTGGAAATAGAAGAGCGGGTACGTTCCAACTGCGCCGATCCCCGCTTCGATGATGAATGCTTAGAAGTTCTCGAAGTCTGTGATCGTTCCAAAGAAGCAGACCTACGAGATAATGTAGATCGCAGGTCTGGCGTAGAAGAAATATCGGTCATTACCACCCTGGTACGCTCATGAGAACTTAAACTGGGTGAGGGAAGCTCCCCTAAAAGCCTTCTAACGTTCTCAGATAAATAGGAATCCGACGAAGCGTCCATAAATCTTCGTCAGGAGAGACGGGCGATTGAGAACGGTGAGCAGTGAGGGTGGGGCGATCTAAGCATTGTTTCTTAGCGGGAGATGGACCAGACCCCGCAGAATTAGTCCTAGCCCTATCTGCCAAATGTCTGGCACAAGCACGTTTGTAAGATTTAAACGCCTCATTAGACAGAGCTGAACACTTTGGACAGCGTGTGTCCCAGTCACAAACACCCACAATCAACACACGATGTGTGTGGGTCCCATGCTGAAAATACTTTATTACAACGGGCGCAAAACTTCCGTTTACTGGCCTGAACAGGCTTAACCATTTTGAGCAAATCTCAGATGAAAAGAATTTTCACGTCCACTCAGTGGAGCGACAAGAAAGAGAATGAGTATGTGAGGTGATCACGTGGGTGAGGACTGCGCATGCCTCGTGCTGTCATGGACTAGTGAGCACGACTGAGACAGGAAGGCACGCACAGCACGGGAGAGGGACAAGGTAGGCCTGGAGCAAAGTTTTAATTCGTTTCCACTCATGGTCGAATGAAGAGAGAGAGGTGCAAGTCGTGAGATAGGATAAGTTTTAAAATATCATATTATTGGCAGCTTCCACCCAGTCATTGTTATTTACAGCAACCACAGACAGATAACCAATACTGATGCCTTGAAACAAGTTTTAGTTGATAGAGAATGGATACATTCATCATAAATGACATACTTTAAAATCTTTTTTTTGGGGGGGGGAACAAAAGTATGTCCACATGTTTACGCGATCGTGACTGTGGAAGTGTCGATGGTGATTCATCAAGTACTTCCATACATAAGAAGATACTTGACAACACCGATCAGCTGTACAAAAGTCCTATGCTTATTATTTATCAAAATCAGCAAACTAAAATAACACAATACTGAAAAATATTTTCATACTATACTCAGAGGCAAAAGTTATCATAGTATTGAATTTTTTAAATTGTAAATCTTGCGGATTAATTTTTGGATTTGAACCAAAGAAACAGTGAGTTAGCATGGTCAAAGAACCAACCAATTGTCAGGAGACTTGCATAAAATTTGCAACAAGTTTGGTTTAGAAGACCAAGAAGCTCATCATTTCCATTCAATGCATTCCTAAGAAGAGCAGAAGTCAGTAAGACACCTCAGTTCATTGTTCTGGAACGCCTCAGGGAAATGTCAGATGGAGAGCTATTGGTATGCTTCAGTCAGTAAGACACCTCACTTCATTGTTCTGGAGCGCCTCAGGGAAATGTCAGATGGAGAGCTATTGATATGCTTCAGTTCCGACAGGTATGCTTGCCGATATGCAAGTACACTTGAAGACGGACAGACTATCAGATACAAAGGTAAACATTTACACAGAGGTAGAGTAGACTGTTGGATACAGGTAGACTGTTAGTCACACATTTCTTCAGGTCAGACTCTCAGGTAGAATGTTTCACACACCGGTAGATCGTTTTACCAAGCTTATACATCTGATGAGGATTTGGAGATTTAATATGCATTTTCCGACATAATGCAAATTTTGCACGCAGGCCCACCACGCCATTTAGAGGGGTGATTTGACTGAAAGAAGGGGGTGTACAGTAAATTTGTATGAATTTGAATTTGAAAATTTGCTAGAAATTATACATCTTTGCCCTGGCTTATACTTGTACATCAGACTCGTCTCTCACCTGTTAGAGCTTGAGTCTTCTTCACTGTGGAACAATCTGATTGGCCAGCCGACTGACTGCCAGCTGCCTCCCTGCCACATGACATCCCTGATGAACTGTCTGATGCAGGTGATACTGTGATGTCATCCTTCCTACCTGTACCACCAGACACCACCTCAACCCGTTGACTAGCACTAGCTGATTGACACCTGGTGTCTGGGTTTAGCCCATTCAATGACACCGAGCTGGGAATACATGGATCCTGTGTTGCAGTGGAGAAACTAGGTTTGGTCCTGTGTGGTGCTGCCATCTGGTTTGCTGACTCGGTGAGGTTGTCTGATCTACAGGAAGATGTGGTGGCTTCAAGCCTCAACTTCTTTTCATTCTCTGGAAATGGAAATAAATGCTACCATTTAACAAATGAGAACTTTCACTATAAGTGGATCAACTTAGTGGTCATTAATGTAACTGGCTTGTAAACATCTGTTACTGTAGGATATGTCTACGTAGATGTCTGGTAGTGGTGACTGCAGGATATGTCTACGTAAACGTCTGTTAGTGGCGACTGCAGGATATGTCTACGTAAACATCTGTTAGTGGCGATTGCAGGATATGTCTACGTAAACATCTGTTAGTGGCGACTGCAGGATATGTCTACGTAAACCTCTGTTAGTGACGACTGCAGGATATGTCTACGTAAACGTGTTAGTGGTGACTGCAGGATATGTCTACGTAACCATCTGTTTGTGGTGACTGCAGGATATGTGTACGTAAACGTCTGTTAGTGGCGACTATGATATGTCTACATAAACGCCTTTTAGTGGTGACTGCAGGATATGTCTACATAAATGTGGCTACTAGGATATGTCTACGTAAACGTCTGTTACTGGTGACTGCAGGATATGTCTACAAGGATGTTTTTGTGACACAACATACCTGGTAGAGTGTTCTGCAAGAGTCGCTTCGAGGACACAGAATGTTCCGGCTTGTATCCACAACCTTGTCCTGTGATTGACACACAGAGCTGGTCAAACTCATGCTTGTGCTGGGGACGCGTGTACTTGTAGAACTCTGGAACAGTAACCCAAGATCATTAGGGTCTATATATCTCGCCTTGTCTCAGGAGCCGGAGTGGGGGCATCTAGTCTTACCGATCAGCATTGTCACCTCATTGCACATGAAATGTACAATGTGTAGTGTTTTAAAAACCATTACATCACCATGCTCACAACAGTATTTCACGTTCAAGGGTTGTTGTATTTGAGAAGTCAAATGATTCAAGGGCATGTGAGTGAGTGAGTTTAGTTTTATGCCGCACTCAGCAATATTCCAGCTATATGGCAGCGGTCTGTAAATAATCGAGTCAGGACCAGACAATCCAGTGATCAACTCATGTGCTTGTAACAATGTGGAGTCCAATCGGTGGCAGGATTACATTAGAATAATGTTTGGATCAGTATTCAAGAAGTTGATGAGTCAATAATGAAGCATGACATTGTGGATATCGGCTTCTTGTTTATTGCATGGAGTGACGTTTCACTTTCAGCGTGATAATGGTGTTAGAATCTACTCCGAAACATCGCTCAATGCAATAAGTTGTATGCTTAGTTAAAGGTTAGAATAGATGACTAGACTGCTGACACTCCTGACACTGCTTATTGTAACCAAACATGGCAGGCTCAGCGGACAAGTGTTTGTCGGGACAGTTCCTTGAAGGCTGGCTGTGCCTGTAGTAGATAGTCATGAGAATGTATATATCTTCTTTGAAGTTAGAGCAATAGTAAACAATAACAATACATGGATGGGAAGCATCTTTATTACAATGAAAGCAACGTTTAGGTTAAGTTCTAACTCTTTCATCAAGCAAGTGATGTAAATATTGTGTACTGTATTTTAAGCTTGGGTGGATATTGGTGAAGTACTGTAAACTCTTTAAACTAACATGAGCACTTTCTACAAATCCCAGCCATGGCCTGGCCAGTGATTGCTTCTATTGTTTCTGTAGCATGTGACCAGATCTTAAGGCTTTTACTTTAACATTTCTCTTCTGTGGTCACTGCACATACTGGGTAAGTTCATTTAGATTTTTTTGTATATATATTTATCGTGAGGATAGCATCTGGTGTTCTGTCTAGTTAATGAGGCGTTCATCATATTAGACTCTGAGGTCTGTCGGCCCTTCCCAATGTCCATGTCCTGCATGTGCACTGCCCACACTACCTGTCTTGTGAGGAACACATGGTTTATACTGCTGCTGGGAATTGGCTGAAATCTCACAATTGATGATTGGTTCATAACCAACAAGCAATCATCAAAATAAATTGGTTAGCATCATTTTTCAGATTTTCGTATTCAAGTTGTAGCAGATAAGTATAATGTGGTTCTGTTGTTTTTTTGGTTGTATTTAGAAATTGCGCAAATTTCATTTGCAAACTTCACATCCAATGTAAAATGATGCAACTTGCTACTTTAAAGTGATGACTAATATATCACGAACATAAACTTCCTGGAGTCTTCAAGCAATATGCAGTCATGACGTCGACCTTTCAGCAAGTGAAGTGAGTTTTCTAAGAACTAAACATGTTTTCAGGCCCTGACAATTTCTAAGATATGTTCAATCATCAAGTGTTTCAAACACTAAAACAGTAGTTACAAAATTGTTTGTGTTCGATTATGAGAAAACGTGGTCAATTGCTTGATTGTTTGGTCACTGCGACCAATGTTTGATTATTTCAGGTAATCTGAACACCACTAGTTGATACTGACAAACAATCTTATTCCTCACAGCGATCCTTCGTAGCCTAATGAATAAAACCGCCAAGCTAGAAAGTGAAAGGTTGCAGGTTCGAAACCAGGTATCGGCACTATACATTGGAAGATTTCAATAATGTGATGACCGCCTCCATGGTGTAGTGGTTAGAGCGTCCGCCCGGAGTGCGGAAGGTTGCGGGTTCGATCCACGACTGCGTCATACCAAAAGACGTTAAAATATGGTACTTGTTGGTCCCTGCCTGGCGCTCGGCATTAATGGGTACAACAAGGACTGGTCGGCTCGGATTCAGTATAATGTGTCTGAGTGGGGTATTCATGCTTCACTGCGGCATGGTATCTCAGTGGGCTAGCATTATAAAACCAGCTTCAGTCTGGGCTAGTACAAGCAGCCGCACATACACATACACACACACACATGCACGTCGTCATATGAGCGAAATATTCTCAAGCACGACGTTAAACCCAATTCCACCACCACCAATAATGTGATATTTTACGCTTGTATTCAGTGATAGCAAGACAAAGGTATATTAATCTTCAAAACAAGTAATATGGCCATTCCTCAGAAAATCCCCGGGATGCGGGCAATTCTGTAGAAAATCGCCGGGATGTCATGGAGAATGCCCGCAAAACTGCTTGTAGAGGTTTACTTGGTAAAAGGAGAACCTAGCGAGACAATAGAGTGACATCGCTGGAGGTTTATAAGCCTTGAACTAAAACATTACTAGGACATTATATACAGGCAGATAGTGGACCAACATGGTTATAATGAGATACTTGTAACCGTATACTAATTACCTAACACTACTATTGTTTAGGGTATGATCACAATTGCCCTGTGTTGGGATCATCATATCCTGCATGTAAACATGGATAAAACATTCCACACTACACAAGTATGTGACAATTCTCAACCCCATTTTCGACATGATGTGTGTATTATCAATTTGCCAGGTGCTATTTGAAAATACAACCACCTTTCTACACTCTCCAGATTTAAGAACAAAGTCCGACCTGTTTCAAACTTTTCCACAGACAAGATGCTTGGCATTCATGAGTAATTCATCATAACTTATTGCTGTTACCATGTTATTACTGACCATTATATTGCCCTTCTGACTTTAATGGGGCGTTGGGGTAGCTTACTGGTTAAAGCGTTTGCTCGTCACGCCGAAGGCCCGGGTTCGATTCCCCACATGGGTACAATTTGTGAAGCCCATTTCTGGGTTCCCCCGCCATGATATTGCTGGAACATTGCTAAAAACGGCGTAAAACCATACTCAGTCAGTCAGTCAGTCAGTCAGTCAGCCAGTCTAAACTTTAATTCTAAATCTGTGTTTGATTCTTTGACTTTGTGTAATCATTTACTGGTTCCACAAGTAAGTACTGAAGATACCAATTTCTGGGTTAACCTTTACATTTCCATACAAAAATACATGTACTGGTGATTTCTGGTCCCAAATGCATGTTTTGTCTATTCTTAGCGTCATGTCATTAAAAAAGCTATGGAGGTGAATAAATACAAGGCATGTTTCCTCACAGCATGGATGGCAATTGGCCAAATGCAGCCTAGCCTAGGTGTTCTCTAAGTCACTTACTGCGGAAGAGGTGATAGTTTTCTGTCTTGTCGGTGAAGAAGTCAGCAAGGACTGTGGTGACTTTAGTCAAGTCCTCCGTTTTGCGGTACCCAACCAGAGCCCGAGAGAACACTTTGTAGGATTCAGCTGTGAGTACTTTCTTCACCTGAAACACAAGCATCACCTTTAGGAAGGTCAAGATTACTTACTCTCTGATATTGACATCATATCAGTGATTCTCAAAGTCGATTGGACCATTTCAGCAACATGATGCATGCTGTGGCAGCGTTCTTTCATATCTAAAAATGATAATAGGTGATGATTTTATGTCGGGAGAAAAACTAGACAGTGTTTATACTCGTAAAAAAGATGCCTCCCCCTTCCCCCAATTCAACGTTGAGACCTCAAACAATTCATTTGATTCCTTCAATTTCAAAATCTCTAAGTATGAAAATATATATTATTGATAGTTTGTAATTTTCTTTGTAGTTTTCATTGAATATTTTTATATTCAATTGAACTTAATTGCTTATCAACAAATCAACAACTCCACAGTTATATTTTACAAAACATTCAGAATTCTAAATGATTCTATTTCGAAATGAATGAATGAATCTGTTGTTTTTCAGTCCCAGAGTTGTCTCTAGTCAATAGTGTTCATAGTCAGTAGTCTAGTCTAGTTCCTGGTGCTTAATAGTGGTACATGTATATGGTTGATGCTTCTAAGCTTACTAATAATCGGTATCAAGTTTACAAAAGTTGGTGAAGATGCATGGGTGAAGTGGTTTTAGAGTTATGCTCCGAACACAAACCCTACCCTTCAAAAAGACCAAGTCCAACTTGAAAGAAAAGTTCAAACCCCAAAAGGGTACGACAAGCATGGGTTACTGAAGACCAATTCTAACTCGGATCTTCCTGGGTTGACATTCAAGTAAACCTGATATCCTGCAGAGGTTGCAATGACACACGGTCTACAGGATCTGGAAGGTCATGTGTTGTCCTTTAGTGCTGACTATGATTCCAGACTCACTGAATGGTACATGAGATAAGATGTAACACCCTGGCTATGGGTGTTTGCTGTTGTGCCATCGCCCATATATAGGAGAAGCATAATATTAATGTTTCATGCATATACTATTTCCCTTTTGATAAAATATCTATAGAATTGTATATACTGGACAAAATAAGTTAGGGATATTGGTATTTTTATGATTGATATTTTATCAGTGTGTCAATGAATAAATAGGTCATTATTAATAATTTCAAAATTTACATATATCCCTAACTATTTTTGTCCAGTATATTTAAACGTGAAATATGATTTTGAAAAATCAAACCTATATGAAAACGATTATCAAGGCTGTATGATTTTACTCCACATCAAGAAATATTCAGGTGATGTAATGACATACCACCAAAATGAACATCGCACACTATACACATGTGGGAAACATTAGGGTATCCCTGCATACCCAGTGTAACTAAAGAACACTCAGTACAGATTGACAAGATTAAGCTCAACTTCAGCCGGTACTGACCTGTGTGATGTAGTCTTCTGCCTTGCTCAGATGTCCAGCTGTGGAAGGTTGACTGGGTTGGGCTGTGGAACTGGAGGACTCTCCTTGCTTCTAAAATTCAGATGGGGAACCTTTAGTATAATACTGTTCTGATTTCACTACCATCGGAACATAGACCTTCTGTCTTGGCAATCAACACATCATGGCAACAAAGTGTCTCTACTGTCCTGGGACCTACACTGTCCTGGACCACCACACATCATGGCAATAAAGTGTCTCTACTGTCCTCGGACCTACACTGTCCTGGACCACCACACATCATGGCAACAAAGTGTCTCTACTGTCCTCGGACCTACACTGTCCTGGACCACCACACATCATGGCAATAAAGTGTCTCTACTGTCCCGGGACCTACACTGTCCAGGACCATCATACATCATGGCAACAAAGTGTCTGTCCTGGACTGTCCTGGGACCTACACTGTCCTGGACCACCACACATCATGGCAACAAAGTGTGTGTCTACTGTCCGGGACCTACACTGTCCTGGACCACCACACATCATGGCAACAAAGTGTCTACTGTCCGGGGACCTACACTGTCCTGGACCACCACATCATGGCAACAAAGTGTCCAGCTCCCGGGACCTACTGTCCTGGGGCAACAAAGTGTCTCTACTGTCAGTCACCTGTCCTGGACCACCACACATCATGGCAACAAAGTGTCTCTACTGTCCTTGGACCTACACTGTCCTGGACCACCACACATCATGGCAACAAAGTGTCTCTACTGTCCTCGGACCTACCTACACTGTCCTGGACCACCACACATCATGGCAACAAAGTGTCCTACTGTCCTCGGACCTACACTGTCCTGGACCACCACACATCATGGCAACAAAGTGTCTCTACTGTCCCCTACACTGGACCTACACTGTCCTGGACCACCACACGTCATGGCAACAAAGTGTAAGCTACTGTCACAGGGACACATGATGCCTGGGAGGTAAGTTCTTGTACATGCATACAGACCTTATAAACATTTCAGAATATTTTCACTACTACATAAATTATACACTAAAATATATATGCATTTTATTTCATAAAGACTTACAACAATAGGAAATATAACAATTTCTTCTTACCTTGATAACAATCTTTCGTTTTTTGGCAGGGTTCTGTCTGACTGGCTGACTTGCTGGAACCTGGGGAAAGAAAGCATGTCATATAATCCCTGACTGCACTATACCAAAAGTCTTACCAGAGACAGATAGAAAGGCCTTGGTGCTGCTTTCACTTCTGTCAAAGCCTTGAATTTCCCACATCACCTCTTTAACATCGGGTGATTGGCATCTGAACTGGTAGTAACTATTAACTTGTCTGGTTTGAGACGAATAAAAGCATTATTTTATATTTTCAGTCAACCATACTCCCAAAAATGAAGCACTGTCGTGTCACAGGCATTTGTCAGTCTTCAAGAGGTGTGCAGTGAGCTGAGCCAGCCGTGAGCTGAGCCAGCCTAAATGATCAATGCATCAAATATATTATTTCATTCCAAATTTAGAAATTCTAAAAACCTATTGGACATTCCTTTGGCAATGTTTGGAAACAGTTGTATGTCTACATAATTTCCTCAATAAATATCAATAGCATAATGATGACAACCAAAACTACAATGCTATCATTGTAATATTTCCATATGAGGCAATGTGTATATTTCGAGTTGAGCATAAGGAATGTTTTCCTGTCAAGTTGTAGTTGTTTAGTGAAATCCCATTTGTGGCTGTATTTTCCCTTGATTGTGGGATGATGGCCACTGTTGTCGTTCCAGGATAATGGTTGGAGGGCAGGTAAGGAAAGGAGTGAATGATGACCAAGATAATACCTTTGTGAAGGTGTGGAGTATGTAGTGTGTGCTCTTCTTGGTTCCCGTTTACACATGTAAATCTGATCTCCGGGGGGCAGGGAGAGTCTTTTCACAGAGATTGATGGTTTGGTGATATAACACTACAATCAACTGCATGACGTGTGTGTACTCAACCAGAAACATAGTACCCACACTGTGCTCACTTCCAACCATACAGCCACCTTGGTCACAAGTCACAACTTAATGCATGGCATGTGTACTGCATCATCTGGAAATATTTGAAGCACATTACGAAAGACCCATCAATTCAACCATTGAGAGTGAATGTTTCTGTTTGTGTCTTGAGTGTAGGTAGTATGCTCTACAGGAAGGTTTACAATCCATACTACATGAATATCCAGGTTAGAATTGATCTTCAGTGCTTGTCGTAAGAGGTGACTAATGGGATCAAGTAGTCAGGCTCTCTGACTTAACTGACACATGTCATCGTATCCCAGTTGCATAGATCGACCCTCATGCTGTTGATCACTGGATTGTCTGGTCCAGATTCTATTTACAGACCACTGTCATATAGCTAGTTAATAGTAATTGTATTAATTTGATTGTAATATTATTGCTTCACTTGTATTGGCCTATGAAGGATCTACATATTCTAATACAATGTATATATTTTTCACGGGGCCTTCTCAGATTATTTATTGCCATTAAAGTGACATCTACACGATGTATTTGGCCTTTGGGGGTATACAAAACCACTCTGGCTACAGTATCATGGAAAGTGGTGTTGAGTATATGCTGTATGTTTCTATGAAGTGGAAACAGATTGGACCTATATATCCTTAATGGTGGCATTATTTGAGCTAACAAGACCCATAGTTTTAAAGCTTACAAGATTTCTATCCATTTGAATGTTCTGCGACAGCAATCATGGCGAATTATGAAAACGGTGCCAAAAAACTCAAAAAAGGCACCTAAAGCATATAAAGGGTAATACATTTGTTACATGGCCATTTGCCAGATGGATTGGGATGGTACAAGCCCATCTGACTTCAGACTCAGGAAATATGGATTCAAAGAGGTTGTACCATCCCATGTTACCTTGCAAATATCAGTGTCACTACTGATACTTAATACTTTTTTTCATTCTTGAACACTACACATATTGAAAGGAAGTACAAATTTGAGTAGGGTGTAACAAGCTTCTAGACTCGAATCAAAGGACGGCGTCTTCTTCACTCCTGGTCAAGTCATCTGCACACTCACATCACGCATGGGTGTCTGGGTGTCTGGGTGTCTGGGTGTCTCGGGGACGACATTGTGAAACACCAAAGTTGGCGGTGACCAAAATCACCGCAAATATTCATGCTTCAATTTTCTCCTGCATGCCAACAATTGATGACATACTGAAGTGGTAATTGATGGAAGCTTTCATGGCATGTACAGTAAGCTCAGGTATCACTGCCTGCCCTAAGGACCATCAGCGTCAAAGTCAAAACAATAAATATAAACACAGGTCATCATCAGTTTTAATTTATGTAATGTGAGTGGGTGAGTTAGTTGGACAACAGGAACAGAAAACCTTCACATTGCTACGTTAGCAGTGGTGAGTGGATAGGTAGGTGAGCCAACATGTACAGACTGTGATGTGTCCCTGCTACACCCCAATCTAGTGCTATGCTTGCTCTATAGTGTGGGACAGAGAGACAGAAAACCTTCACATTGCTATGTTAGCAGTGGTGAGAGGATAGGTAGGTGAGCCAACATGTTCAGACTGTAATGTGTCCCTGCTACACCCCAATCTATTGCTATGCTTGCTCTATAGTGTGGGACAGAGAGACAGAAAACCTTCACATTGCTATGTTAGCAGTGGTGAGAGGATAGGTAGGTGAGCCAACATGTTCAGACTGTAATGTGTCCCTGCTACACCCCAATCTATTGCTATGCTTGCTCTATAGTGTGGGACAGAGAGACAGAAAACCTTCACATTGCTATGTTAGCAGTGGTGAGAGGATAGGTAGGTGAGCCAACATGTTCAGACTGTAACGTGTCCCTGCTACACCCCAATCTAGTGCTATGCTTGCTCTATAGTGTGGGACAGAGAGACAGAAAACACCAGTACAAACATAGGCACTCATACACATGCAGACATACATTAATCTATGGTTATAACACATTCAAAGGGACCACTAATTCTTGTTCGTTACAACCTCATTGGATCTGTCACTTCATTGTCAGCACATTTGTTGTAAACATATACATACAGATATACAAATACAGACAAGCTCACATTTACAAACAGATTTACAAGGTTGGAACTTGGTGCTAACAAGCAAAATGTTGCTCAGATTTTACACTGGCATCAGCTGCCTCTGTCAAGAATGCAGATGTTTGCATCTCACAATCCCATTGACTTTAATGTAATCAAACACTCAATATTGCAAACCAAAACGTAACTGTTAGCTAAATGCAAAGTTAGGCCAGACCAATTTTATTTCATGTTTTACGGATTTTTGTCCTCAGAAAACCTAAAGGCAGGAGGGAAAAAAATTGTAAAAATAAAATCACGAGTCAAAGTAATATTCCTTCTAAATATTAAAAGTATTTTACTTCTGGCAATTTATGATATGTGTATGGGGCAAAAAACAATCAAAAAATCTTTTTCTTGTAAGGTTACATTAAAAACATTAGGATTTTATTTTTTGAGAAGGGAAAATTAACTTTATTTTTTTTTATTCTTGAAAAAATACGACCGGCAGATCCGTAAAACAAGAAATAAAATTGGTCTGGCCTTATCAAAACAATCAAGATTTTCGGGCAGACTACATGTGAATTTAAACCAATAACAAATATGCATTGTTGTATTTCCCTAATATGATATAGGCAAAAGCAAAGCAATGCTGTATGCTCAGCAACATAGTTGCACAATCACAAACTTCTTCAACATAAGGGGCGATGGGGTAGTCTAGAGGTTAAAGCGTTGGCTCGTCACGCCGAAGACCCGGGTTCGAATCCCCACATGGGTACAATGAGTGAAGCCCATTTCTGGTGTCCCCCGCCGTGATATTGCTGGAATATTGCTATAAGCTGCGTAAAACCAAACTCAGTCAGTCAGTCATCAACATAAAATCTGGCGACTGTTAGCACAGGACTCAGAGAGGCAAGGATGTTGAAAATGATCAAACACCCCAAAAAAACAACAACAAAACCAACAACACAGAACAGAAAAATTGCTTGTGCCTTCCGCAAACCTTGATCTACACACATGCACACTCACAACCATTTCCTGACAGAAGTGCACAAAGTGACACCTCTCAGACAAGCACCTACACACCAACTGAACAATGAGAGGCACGTCATCAATCACTGACAAAGCCATGTAGCACACATCTTGCTCTGTCAGTTATTGGGTCTGATTGTTCCCTGTCTGTCAGCACCAGCTCTAGAGCATGTCAGCAAGGTGGTTAACATGTGAGACATACATTCCATCTGTCTGTCTTCACACATCGAGCTGTGATATGATATATCTATTGTTCACACAACAACGAACCAACTCACTCATCCACTTTGATTTCATATGCAGCTGAGAACAAGTGGTTCTTCATAGCTTTGAGTATCTCTATGCAAATGTGTTGAATAATTTCCAGGTTGGTAATTTCAGTGTACGTGTTGTAAAGTTTAGTTGCACCTCAGTTGATCAGTCTGTTCCCTCTGCAGCCCAGGGCCTAGATTTTCGAAGCTCTCATAGCACTAGGATAGTCGTAAGTTTATGTTAATGTATGGCACTTACGACTATCTTAGCGCTAAGAGAGCTTGGAAAATCTAGGCCCAGGTGCGTATATTACATGCCATGCTATACAAGCATCACATCCAGCAAGACTTACAGCCCATCCTGGCCGGTACTATCACCTTCAGTTCAGAAACATACATCACGCCTGTAGACACATGGTGCTTCTGTGAGGACAGTGGACATCAGCAGTGTCCAGCCCATAGAAGTCCAAGGTCATGACCGGGAACATCACACTACCAGTAATAATGTTATACACATGCATTTTCATATTTCCATTTTCATCTGAAGAGATTACACTAGGCAATGAAAAAATGAGGTCACATTTGTATGTCATCGTCAGCATTAACAGTATCATCATTCATCGTTCCAGCAATGTACGAAGAATCCCAGTGTAGTTCAGGCATGCTGGTAGTATCCCATGATGCATGAGGACAGGGCCAATCAGAAACCACTGCAAACACACATGTTGGGACCACTGGTTGACAGACGATATGTGCCTTACAGGAGGTTCCCCCATGCCAGCTGTGGCCCTACACAGAGGCAACACTATTACATTGTCTGCTCCATGTATAGATGTTTGTAAAAAGCTGCATATTTTGTAACAATGTCATTGTACACATTTCTTGGTGTGTCAGCAACACATCTAAGGCCGTGGGTTTTAATAAAAGTGGTCAACATCATAAGGTCTGCATCACACTTGGCGTCTCTTCCATATTGCATTAACACTGTTGGCATTGAACACCCAGCTCGCTGACAGAAGGAAGTTCAACACATTATATTACATTTGCAGTTTATTGATGTGTGGTTTCTGAGACTTAGCTTTACATATTTAAAACTATTCCAGCTGTCCTGGAACAGACAGTGACAAACTCCAGATACACAGCTCCAGGACACAATCTCCTGCCTGTATCAGCTGATGGTGACAAACTCCAGATACACAGCTCCAGGACATAATCTCCTGCCTGTATCAGCTGACGGTGACAAACTCCAGATACACAGCTCCAGGACACAATCTCCTGTCTGTATCAGCTGACAGTGACAAACTCCAGATACACCATCTGTCTGTATCAGCTGACGGTGACAAACTCCAAATACACCATCTCCTGTCTGTATCAGCTGACGGTGACAAACTCCAGATACACCATCTACTGTCTGTATCAGCTGACGGTGACAAACTCCAGATACGCAGCTCCAGGACACAATCTCCTGTCTGTATCAGCTGTCAGTGACAAACTCCAGATACACAGCTCCAGGACACCATCTACTGTCTGTATCAGCTGACGGTGACAAACTCCAGATACACAGCTCCAGGACATAATCTCCTGTCTGTATCAGCTGACGGTGACAAACTCCAGATACATAACTCCAGGACACAATCTCCTGTCTGTATCAGCTGTCAGTGACAAACTCCAGATACACAGCTCCAGGACACCATCTACTGTCTGTATCAGCTGATGGTTACAAACTCCAGATACACAGCTCCAGGACACAATCTACTGCCTGTATCAGCTGACGGTGACAAACTCCAGATACACCATCTACTGTCTGTATCAGCTGATGGTTACAAACTCCAGATACACCATCTCCTGTCTGTATCAGCTGACGGTGACAAACTCCAGATACACCATCTACTGTCTGTATCAGCTGATGGTTACAAACTCCAGATACACAGCTCCAGGACACAATCTCCTGTCTGTATCAGCTGACGGTGACAAACTCCAGATACACCATCTCCTGTCTGTATCAGCTGACGGTGACAAACTCCAGATACACCATCTACTGTCTGTATCAGCTGATGGTGACAAACTCCAGATACACAACTCCAGGACACAATCTCCTGCCTTTATCAGCTGATGGTGACAAACTCCAGATACACCATCTCCTGTCTGTATCAGCTGACGGTGACAAACTCCAGATACACCATCTACTGTCTGTATCAGCTGACGGTGACAAACTCCAGACACACAACTCCAGGACACAATCTCCTGCCTGTATCAGCTGATGGTGACAAACTCCAGATACACAGCCCCAGGACACCATCTCCTGCCTGTATCAGCTTCTTACACTTCCCGGCAAACAACACATAACTGTAATACATTATAAGTACTGAAGGATTTATTAGTCAGAGGAAAACTATTTTGTTGAGCCTAAGTCCAATTTCATTGAGTTTTCATAATGAATTTCACAGTGATAAGTATCTTTCTGTGATTGTAGGCCTGATGAATGGCTATATTTATATAAGAACATCAGGACTTCCATGTGTTCAGCACAATGCAAGCAAGCAACAGTCTGTAATGATTATATGATGCTTCTATCATGATTAAAGGATCATTCTTAGAATGGGGAAAAAAACCCTGAACATATACTTGAGCCTTAACTTTAAATACATAGATCTTAACAATCTGTCATACCTTGAAACAAAAATCAATACAAAACTATTCACAAATTCTCAGGACCACACATTAGTGAAATTCTGTCATTTTGATGCAAATGATAAGTTTTCATGATACTTTTAGTTAATTTCTGAAACAAACATACTTGAAGATGTGGTGCACATGCATACATGCACGCACGCACCAACATACCCACACACACACTGTATCATGCTATTTATGTAAATCCTACAAAAATAACAGCATGTAATATATAGTTAAAAGTATGAAACATTACCTTTGATGCTAATGTTGAGAATAAATAACAACAAGAAGTTGTCACTAAGGTGACATAATCCCCACCGCAAAGAGAAAATGAAAGAGAAGGTCGTAGGTTAAGATGAAGTTAAATGTCAACAAAAACATGACCTGTCAGCCTCTCTTGATATCTTGCTCTGCTCTGTAGCTGTTCAAACACACAAATATTTTCAAAACTGACTTTGACCTTGCCATGATTGTCATGGTGTATGAAATATGCAAAAAATGGTAATAGAGAAATTGCTTATAAAAAAACATTCAAGAGAAGTCTTGAAAGTCCATAAAGAAGAAAATCCAGTGAACCGTTCTTGAGATATCTTGCTGACAATCTTAACATACTGAAATCTTCAAAGTGTCTCTGTGACCTTGAAAATTATGTGAAGGTCACCAAAACCAACTGGGCCCTGCGCCTCCCCTATATGAAGCTTAGTGTCAAACACGAAGAAAATCTAGTGATTGGTTCTTGAGGTATCTCGCTGACAAGCTTAACATGCAGGCTAACATGCTGAAATCTTCAAAGTGTCGTCGTGACCTTGAAAGTTATAGGAAGGTCACCAAAGTCGACTGGTCCTTGCGCCTTCCCTATATGAGTGAGTGAGTGTATGATTTTACGCCGCTTTTAGCAATATTCCAGCAACATTATGGCGGGGGACACCAGAAATGGGCTTACATTCCCTATATGAAGCTTGGTGTCAAATACGAAGAAAATCCAGTGATTGGTTCTTGAGGTATCTTGCTGACAAGCTTATCACGCAGGTTAACATGCTGAAATCTTCAAAGTGTTGCTGTGACCTTTAAACTTTCGTGAAGGTCACCAAAACCAACTGGGCCCTGCGCCTTCCCTATATGAAGCTTAGTGTCAAACATGAAGAAAATCCAGCTAACAGGTCTTGAGACATCTTGCTGACAAGAGTAAATCGTTCAAGTCCCTTGTGACCTTGAAATGTAGGTCAAGGTCACCAAACCTAACTGGGACCTTTCTTATGCTGTGATGAACCTAGGAACCAAGTATGAAAAGAATCCAGTCAATGGTTCTTAAGATATTCCAATTCGTACATACGGACGGATGGACAGAGCCAAATACTATATCCCCCGCTTCGGGCTAAACGCGGGGCGGGGGATAACTAGCAATCTATGTTCTGTTATTACTCATATCCAGTTTGGGTGCAATAAACACCAAAATCTTAATTGTCCAGTAGTTGGCAAAGGGATAATACCCACTGTGTTTGTTTATGCTGGGTATCATCTCAAACATCACTCTACAACACAAAAATACACAGCAGATTTTTTTCCCTTTTCATCTCAAATTTACATCACTAAACAGTCCAACTAAAGGTGAAACAGGTTTGTGTTACTTGTTTACTGGTTGGCAAGAAGTTGTCACTTCTGAATTTTCTCAAAGTCTAAATACTTCTTGGGTGGCATCGACCTCTGGATTGTGATCCCAGTATTTTATACATATAGTGTACAAGTGTTGTATATATATGTAGTGTGCAAGTGTTATACATATATGTAGTGTGCAAGTGTTATACATATTTATCTTGCCTCACGCATAAATGTCATTTTCTGATTGGCTGAGGGCTCTTCTATTATTTTCAATGTACCCCGCTTACAAGCGAGTAACATTTTCTATGTACCAGGCAGGGAATGCCGAACTCATTTGGTACTTCATAGTAGTAATTCTTTATCTCGAATAACATTGAATAACATACGATGTATGGAAATTACTGATGTTTTGCGAATGCAAATCGATGGAAGGGAGATAACTTCGCTCTCAGGGAACATAAACAAACATCGAGGGTACATCAGCCCATGTCCCCATCGAGACCAGTGAACAACTTATAATGTAGTGTGCAAGTGTTATACATATATGTAGTGTGCAGGTGTTATACATATATGTAGCGTGCAAGTGTTATACATATATGTAGTGTGAAGGTGTTATACATATATGTAGTGTGCAAGTGTTATACATATATGTAGTGTGCAAGTGTTATACATATATGTAGTGTGCAGGTGTTATACAAATATATGTAGTGTGCAGGTGTTATACATATATGTAGTGTGCAAGTGTTATACATATATGTAGTATGCAGGTGTTATACATATATGTAGTGTGCAAGTGTTATACATATATGTAGTGTGCAAGTGTTATACACATGTAGTGTGCAAGTGTTATACATATATGTAGTGTGCAGGTGTTATACATATATGTAGTGTGCAGATGTTATACATATATGTAGCGTGCAAGTGTTATACATATATGTAGTGTGCAGGTGTTATACAAATATATGTAGTGTGCAAGTGTTATACAAATATATGTAGTGTGCAAGTGTTATACATATATGTAGTGTGCAGGTGTTATACAAATATATGTAGTGTGCAGGTGTTATACATATATGTAGTGTGCAAGTGTTATACATATATGTAGTGTGCAAGTGTTCTGATAAAAATCTGTACAATGTAATTGGATTTGCAGAATTTGGTTCAAATATCGATTCTACCAAAATGGCTGGCATCTCTGCATCTACCAGCAGACAGTCACACCAGGAGACTGGGATCGGAACACAGGCAACATGACAAACCTTACCTTGGAGTCAAACGTAACACTGGAATCCTCAACATGTTTCTGAAAATATAGAAAATAATTGTGTGTTGGTACTGGTTTCAAACCGTAAGACAATTTACTTCACAAACAAAGGGGAAAATGTGAGCTCTGTTCTCCTCAGATCAAGCTTAATATGATAAATAAATAAACATTAATACTTATTTGCAAGTAATTTCTTCTCAGACTTGGCTAAATATTAGACAACTGCTGATAACGAGTGAGTGAGTGAGTTTAGTTTTACGCTGCACTCAGGAATATTCCAACCATATGGCGGCGGTCTGAAAATAATCAAGTCTGGACCAGACAATCCAGTGATCAACAGCATGAGCATCGATCTATGAAACTGGGATATGATGATATGTGTCAACCAAGTCAGTGAGCCTGACCACCCAATCCCGTTAGTTGCCTCTTACGACAAGCACAGGTTACTGAAGATCAATTCTAACCCGGATCTTCACGGGTCACTGCTGATAATGAACTTCTTGAGTACACTAATCCATGTCTTCAAAATATGAGTTCTTGAGGAGTTATTGAGAGCGAAACAGTTGTCACTGTTTGAATATGACATTGTTATCATTGTTGATAATGTTAATTCTTTTACAAATATAAGACACATTAGGCTTGGTGGACATAGAGTACTCCTAAACAATTAAGTAGGACAACCATAAACAGTGACTAAATGTTAACTGATAAGACAGTTAAGACCTGCATATTTACCATAATGGTCGACTATGACATCATTTCCAGGTAAAGGTACTTCTGATGACATCATGATGACGTCATGATGACATCACTTCTGGTTTACATCCTGTCCACTACATTGTGAGACAGGAATTCCATATATCCAACTGTCTGTAACCCGGCCCCTATTAACCATAAACAATTTGAAGCGTTAGACTGACTATGCAGCAAGAAGTATTTCTGTGTTCACAACCAGCCTCAGGTGAGAGCTGAATAGGTAATTCACCGTCAGTTGAGACTGTTGTCCGGGCAGTTGTCCAATATTATCGAGTGCCGAGCAAAAGATGCAGGTCTTTCCTGAGATGGAGCAGAAATTCAGCCACCAAAGGAATATGGGATGATGAGCGGTTCCAGATCTGACTTTTCACTAACGGAATTGGTTCCATATACAAGGCAGATATTGAAGTTGAACTCCTTGTGAAATCCTGTTGATGTGAGGTATGACTGGTCTGTTCGGGTTATCTACCAAACATTTTCTGCAAAGGCTGACCAACAACGGCCCATTCCTTGCATTTGCTGTTGAAGAGCTGGTCTGAAAATGGCCTTAATAAAGCATCTTTTTGGTCTCTGATGAAAACAACAAATTGAGCTGATGCAGGTAGTGGTCTTTGCTCAGTCGACTACTGCCTTGGCAACTTGACGGGTAAATTTATATTATCTGAAGAACATGAGTCCTCCCTTGAAGCAAGGGATGGCCCAGGTGGTCTGGATAAAGTGTTGATAATCCTTCCTTTAGGTCCGAAATTCCTCATGATCTGGGAAGGCCGGCATAGAGCCAGGGAAAAAATGTCCAATGTTGCAAGCTTGTCTGTGAATGTATAAGAAGCTGAACTGTGCTCTGAAGTTTCTGTCCTCACAGCCATATATACAACAGCAGAATTGTCCAAATCCTCTGAAATACAGTCCATATAACTGTGAAAAAGAGCACACATCACTGCCTCTATCATGCTGTTGAGCTAACCGTGCTTTCCTCTTCTTGATTCTGAGCTGCATGGGTCCTATGATAAGCTGTCCATGTGGTCCATGACTTTACTGCCTCCGCATACTGTTAAAAGTTGCTTCGGTTAGTTCTGCATGCATGCTCCAGAATAGGACCAGTAGGCCTCCTACACTCCACAGTAAGCCACCAAGCAAAATTCCTGGAGGTCGGACAATCTACGATAACAGCGTCGTGGTCGACATATTGAGTGCCTGTGTAAACTGCCGATGAAGTGACGAACTGTTGAGCATGCGGATGCCGAGGGGACTTAAGCTTTCAAAATGCTCAACAGTTTTTTGTGTACAAAGGGACAGAAGAGATAAATTTAGTGCCCATTATCTTACCTATTTTTAAATAAAAAGAATAGGTAAACCTCAGAAAATTTTACACATTTTTTCAGAGAACAAGCATTCAAATTAGTGCATGTGAGCAACAGGAAAAATTATAAGGTTTCCTATGGTACTGTTAGGGGAGATGACTCCTGCAGATAGCACTTGGAAGGCCACTAGGAAAAAAGACAACACAAAAACTTTGTACTTTTTATTCAACCTGCTGATTCAGAAACAAGTTTCAGGAAAAAAGGCAATCACGTCTAGAATTTCTAGATTTGAGTTGAACCAACAGAATGGCATGTCAGCCAAATCACTGCTACCATATCCATGACTCTGATGTTAATAAGTTACAGCTATTGCAAATGAGAAAATTAATCAATCCCACGAACAATGCCAAAAACCCAGTGGGAAGTAAAGCTGTGAAGGCAAGAAGAGTTATCTCCCTTACCTCACTGTAAATCAAGGCATGCAGGACTGAGGAGCATTATCTTCCTTACCTCATTGTAATCCAGCCCCTGAGGTACTGGACAGAGGAGAGTTATCTTCCTTACCTCATTGTAATCCAACCCCTGAGGTACTGGACTGAGGAGAGTTATCTATTTCACCACATCAAGGGTCAGGAGATGACTACTAATGGTTACAGTTACATCCCTCACCTCATCATGTTCCAGTGCCTGGAGCAGGCTCTGCCTGGTGCTGGATTGGGGAGACTTTCCAGTGCTCCTGTACTGCTGACTAAGCTGGGAGAATGCCTGTGTCTGGTTCCCTGAAATACAAAATTAACAAAATCTGTACCTGCCCTCAGACTAGGAATGTAAGACACCCCCCTACCTGTATCTGCCCTCACACTAGGAATGTAAGACACCCCCCACCTGTACCTGAATGACACTAGGAATGTAAGACACCCCTCACCTGTACCTGCCCTCACACTAGGAATGTAAGACACCACCCACCTGTATCTGCCCTCACACTAGGAATGTAAGACACCCCCCACCTGTACCTGCCCTCACACTAGGAATGTAAGATACCCCTCACCTGTACCTGCCCTCACACTAGGAATGTAAGACACCACCCACCTGTATCTGCCCTCACACTAGGAATGTAAGACACCACCCATCTGTACCTGCCCTCACACTAGGAATGTAAGACACCCCCACACCTGTATCTGCCCTCACACTAGGAATGTAAGATACCCCTCACCTGTATCTGCCCTGACACTAGGAATGTAAGACACCCCCCACCTGTACCTGCCCTGACACTAGGAATGTAAGACACCCCCACCTGTACCTGCCCTCACACTAGGAATGTAAGACACCCCCACCTGTATCTGCCCTCACACTAGGAATGTAAGACACCCCCACCTGTACCTGCCCTGACACTAGGAATGTAAGACACCCCCACCTGTATCTGCCCTCACACTAGGAATGTAAGACACCCCCCACCTGTACCTGCCCTCACACTAGGAATGTAAGACACCACCCACCTGTACCTGCCCTCACACTAGGAATGCAAGACACCACCCACCTGTACCTGCCCTCACACTAGGAATGTAAGACACCCCCACCTGTACCTGCCCTCACACTAGGAATGTAAGACACCCCCACCTGTATCTGCCCTCACACTAGGAATGTAAGACACTACCCACCTGTATCTGCCCTGACACTAGGAATGTAAGACACCCCCCACCTGTATCTGCCCTCAAACTAGGAATGTAAGACACCACCCACCTGTACCTGCCCTGACACTAGGAATGTAAGACACCACCCACCTGTATCTGCCCTGACACTAGGAATGTAAGACACCACCCACCTGTACCTGCCCTCACACTAGGAATGTAAGACACCACCCACCTGTACCTGCTGCCCTCACACTAGGAATGTAAGACACCACCCACCTGTACCTGCCCTCACACTAGGAATGTAAGACACCACCCACCTGTACCTGCCCTGACACTAGGAATGTAAGACACCACCCACCTGTATCTGCCCTGACACTAGGAATGTAAGACACCCCCACCTGTATCTGCCCTCACACTAGGAATGTAAGACACCCCCACCTGTATCTGCCCTCACACTAGGAATGCATGACACCCCTCACCTGTACCTACCCTGACACTAGGAATGTAAGACACCCCCACCTGTACCTGCCCTGACACTAGGAATGTAAGACACCCCCCACCTGCCCTGACACTAGGAATGTAAGACACCACCCACCTGTACCTGCCCTGACACTAGGAATGTAAGACACCACCCACCTGTACCTGCCCTGACACTAGGAATGTAAGACACTACCCACCTGTATCTGCCCTGACACTAGGAATGTAAGACACTACCCACCTGTATCTGCCCTGACACTAGGAATGCAAGACACCCCTCACCTGTACCTGCCCTGACACTAGGAATGTAAGACACCACCCACCTGTATCTGCCCTCACACTAGGAATGTAAGACACCTCCCACCTGTATCTGCCCTGACACTAGGAATGTAAGACACTACCCACCTGTACCTGCCCTGACACTAGGAATGTAAGACACTACCCACCTGTATCTGCCCTGACACTAGGAATGCAAGACACCACCCACCTGTACCTGCCCTGACACTAGGAATGTAAGACACTACCCACCTGTATCTGCCCTGACACTAGGAATGCAAGACACCCCTCACCTGTACCTGCCCTGACACTAGGAATGTAAGACACTACCCACCTGTATCTGCCCTGACACTAGGAATGCAAGACACCCCTCACCTGTACCTGCCCTGACACTAGGAATGTAAGACACTACCCACCTGTATCTGCCCTGACACTAGGAATGTAAGACACCACCCACCTGTACCTGCCCTCACACTAGGAATGTAAGACACCTCCCACCTGTATCTGCCCTGACACTAGGAATGTAAGACACCCCCCACCTGTACCTGCCCTGACACTAGGAATGTAAGACACTACCCACCTGTATCTGCCCTGACACTAGGAATGCAAGACACCCCTCACCTGTACCTGCCCTGACACTAGGAATGTAAGACACTACCCACCTGTATCTGCCCTGACACTAGGAATGCAAGACACCACCCACCTGTACCTGCCCTGACACTAGGAATGTAAGACACTACCCACCTGTATCTGCCCTGACACTAGGAATGCAAGACACCACCCACCTGTACCTGCCCTGACACTAGGAATGTAAGACACTACCCACCTGTATCTGCCCTGACACTAGGAATGCAAGACACCACCCACCTGTACCTGCCCTGACACTAGGAATGTAAGACACTACCCATCTGTATCTGCCCTGTCACTAGGAATGCAAGACACCCCCCACCTGTACCTGCCCTCACACTAGGAATGTAAGACACCCCCACCTGTACCTGCCCTCAAACTAGGAATGTAGGACACCCCTCACCTGTACCTGCCCTCACACTAGGAATGTAAGACACCCCTCACCTGTACCAGCCCTCACACTAGGAATGCAAGACACCCCCACCTGTACCTGCCCTGACACTAGGAATGTAAGACACCCCTCACCTGTACCTGCCCTGACACTAGGAATGTAAGACACCCCTCACCTGTACCTGCCCTGACACTAGGAATGCAAGACACCCCTCACCTGTACCTGCCCTGACACTAGGAATGCAAGACACTCCTGACTGTACCTGCCCTCACACTAGGAATGCAAGACACTCCTGACTGTACCTGCCCTGACACTAGGAATGCAAGCTGTGACTCACCTACACTGGCCCCGAGACAATGAATGCAAGATATGCCTCACGTGTACCTGCCCTGACACTAAGAATGCAAGCTGTTCCTCACCTGTATCTGCCCTGAGACTAGGGACGTGTAATGGGATAGTTCGTGCTTGCTCGTACTCGATCTTGCCTCGAGTGTTTCCCCTGGAGAATGTGGGCACGAAGTAGGCTCCCTGGCACCCGGCAGCCTCAGAGTGAGTTGACTTCTTTTTGATGCTTGGAGCTGGCATCTGTAATTATTCACAACTATCACAGCACTTTGTATTTTGATTCAGAAAGCATTTCAACGAGTTATCAGCCACATCGTCGGAATGACACACAACTGAGACATTGACCATACAGCACACTGTTGACATTCGCTTAACCTTGGTATAACCCTAGTATGTATTCTCTAATGAACCGTGGTGACTGTCAGATCACCAGGTATAAACTAGCCATAAAGGGAGAACATGAAAGGTCATTTACTCACAGACTTCTGCGCAGTCTTGAAGAAAGCCATCATGTCTCTTATGGAATGTCCAAAGTTCAATGGCTTCTTCACATAAGGTCGCACCCACACAGGCAGTTGGGCCAGCGCTTCACCTGAGCCAAACCTATACAACCACTCTCCAAATTAGAACACTCAAGGTAGACAAAACTTGCTTCTAAACAAAAGCTTCATCAAGCCCCTTCTCTACTTTCAAAAGGCTTACAAGTAAAACCCACACCTTATCAAACATGTTTTTGTAAAGTTTTACCATTGCCGCAAAATAAATTCAGATATCTCAAAACGACAATAACATTGACCTAGGAACAATTTACGAGCAATAATGTAAAAATAAAGATGAGATACACCTTCTGTTAGCAACAATCTCTGGGACAGTTGGAGAGCGCAGACGTACCTTGTGTCACACAGCAGAATTGCCCCAAAGTCCTGCTTGTGTCTGATGACCCGGCCGATGGCCTGGTTGACGGCCCGGGAGGCCTGCTGCCGGTACCAGGACTGTCCACTCAGGCTCTGCAGACCAGCACAGGCACAAATTGTCAGTTGGTGACATTGGGGCATATATATACTGAGGGAAACAAATAAGGGATCACATGAAAGCACAAGTGATCCTTTATTTTTTTCCAGATTTCTACACAAGTTGCGAGATACAAAGTCAGTCTCTCTCTCTCTCTCTCTCTCACTCTCACACTCTCTCTCACACACACACACACACACACACACACACAGAGCAGCATTTTATACACATTCCTAAGATATTTCCCAGACTAACCTGACTGGTAGTTCACTAGTGCTGCCTCTCTATATGTACAACACAGGGGTAAGCTATACAGTACACCGAGCAAACATGATGTTGCTCTTCATTACGTTCACGTTTCTCACCTTGCTACCAGCCTTCCTCTTTATCTCATCCAGGAACTGCATCTTGAGGACGATGCGAGGGTCCATCCTGGGGGGGGAAACGGCAAGCCAGTGATCATGACAGCCCGACCATTGTTGTCGGCAAAGTCTAGGCCCTCACTCACCTGGAGCATAGACAGAAGAACATTCAAGATCTGACACCATAAAAGTACAGAGGTAAAATGTCATTGTCTTTCAATGAGCTTGTGCAGCCACATGGAGAGATGCTAAAACCAAACTCAGGAAATTAATAACATCTCAGGTATTTGGGGTCCAAAACTGAAAATCCTGGTTGACTGTACGTTCTCCTCATTCCATGAACAAGGTCACACAAGTGACCTTTATGCTACTGCCTCTAAAATGTTAATCAATAGTCTGAATTACACACAAAATTGTATTTACAATATTTGTAATATTTTCTCAAGAAATCACACTTGCAGCTCACCTTTCCCCGGCACACAGCCATGAAGATTGCACCATTTTGGGTTGGATCATTAATTTTTTCATAATATTCATCCATGGCCTGAAATACAACACAATTTATTGGGATAAAACAGAAGACACATGTGCAAAAGACATCTCTTCTCTGGAGTATTCAGATATGAAAGCATTATATTCCCAAACATCTGTGACCATACTTATTCAACCTTGAATAATAGCTGATGCACTGTAGCTCACCTTGATATGGAGTCAATAGTTGGAAAAAACAAAGAAAGTCTCTGTCAGCATTGACATCAAAATATTTCTGACATATTAGTATGAACTATAATGAAATTCTTCATGGTTTAAACAAAAAGTTTGTCATCGAATGTAAACACAGAAAATAAGGCAGTACTGCCTGAACTGTTGGCCCACTTGGGTTTTACAAATGTAACTCAAATGCTTTGGTTACTTTCCAGCACCTGATGGAGTATATGGGTGACATTCATCTTCTTCAATGACTGTGCAAGATGGGGCTCAAATTGTGAAAATGCAAATTCTTGCAGACCTCCAGTAAATATCAAAGTCATGTGATCTCTATGGAGGGTATGTAAACAGACCCTGAGAGAGAACAGAGGTATTGAAGTACTGGCCAGTTCCATATAATGTCAAGGATGTATATAAATATCTTGGATTCTCCGGGTACTATGGACATTTCGTGCCAGATTATGTTAAAGTTGCCAAGCCACTGACTAGTTCAGTAGCTGGTCATTGCGAGAGGTCCAAATACAAGATGAAGTCTGATCAACCATTTGTATAGGGGGTGCTCAACAGTGAGCTTTCAGTAAAAGAGGCTTGTCTTGTTTTGGCCTTCATTCTGCTCTTTGAATTGCAAGCTGATGCAAGTGGGGATGGCTAGTGTGCAGTACTGTACCCATCCCAAGACAATCAAAGGTGATTGTTTTTGCTGCCAATCTGGAAAATACATTGTGTGTATGAGCTTACAGGTGAAAACCTTGAAAGTGCACAGATTAAACAGTATAAGAGTGATAATATTAGGCACATGGCCCCCCAGTCAAGGTTAGTGTAGTTGTATTGGTGCATACGTCGTGGGAAGAGGGATATTTCGTGGTGGATGAGTTTCAACCTCATTCCAATATTCTAGTGTTTCAAGTCCAGAAGGAAGGGTATCTAGAGCATTGTATTCTTCACTGTAAACTACTCTTTCTAATCTGTTACAGATTACAGATGGCTATCCTTCACCCAGGCCACCACAAGCAAGCTTGACAACACAAGTGTTGTTGATACAACACTGGAAACCTCAACAACGAACATGCACCATGAGAGTACTCTTTCTCCAGGATTGGTCCTATCCCCAGTGTCGCTACTGCCATCAGTTAGCTCACCACCAGCAACTGATCACCCGTACCTACACCATCTACACCATCCCCAACAGCACCAACTAGTCCTTTCCCTGGCTCAAGACTGTCAACTCCCCAGTCATTATCTATGCTATTTGGACTAACCTGCACGGAGCCTAAATGGATGACAGGCAGGCAGTCTATTTTTCAGCAAAGTGGGTGTTAGTTTTGTTATCATCCATCATCATTTCAAGTTTGTTTGGGATTTTTAGGGCTCCTTGCCTCTAGGCAGGAGACCTATTGTAATCGTTCGGATTATTATTATTATTATTTATTATTCCGCCGATTTTTGTACCAAACACAACTCCTAAACCAATGCTCCGAATCGCTTACAAAAAATCACACAGATGCGCACCCAGGTGTAGATATTCCCCTTAAAAATCTCTAGGCTCTTGGCCCAATAGCAAAGGGGAAATAATTCATAATTAATTCCAAAATTTCAACGTTTGACAGCAAATATCTCAAGAACTAATTGTTCCAACAATTCCAAATTTCTTGTACAGATGCACAATCGAATTCCCAACAATTTTGCCTGGACGGGTCAAGTCGCTAAAACCTACCGTTTGGCAGTTATTTCTGTTTTCAGTTTTTCTGAGTAGTTTGCTCCCAAAATGTGCAAATTCTGCACACAAAAGTGCCAGTATGGTAGATGATGTCCTGGTGATTCCAGAACACTAATTGTTTTGAATGTAGACCCAAGGAACAACCGAGATACCGCCTTTTAAAGAGGGAACTATTTCTTCTCCGGAACTACTTAAAAGGTACCTGACCCCCATGACCCCGGCTATATTTGGAAGATCCGCTCGCCTGTCAAAACATGTGTTCCGGCTCCGTTTTGGACGATGACATCTAGCCCTCAGATACAATAGATAGAAAGTAAAGCCAAGGAGGCCTCATCGTTGCCCGCAACTAGATTTATATCATACATTGTCCTCGTCTGCAGCAGATATCAGCCTACAAGCTGGTTTCCTGCGCAACTTCCCTTGTCTGTTTTTAGAAATTACTGCATGGCACGTGGCCTTTTCTGCCCTTCGGTTCACTTCCTGTATTTTTATATGGATCAAGGACGTTCAAAAGGTAAGACAACATTTCAGCATTCTCTTTCCATCCTATTTAAGAAAGAAATCACTGACACCACAAAAAAACAAAGGCTACAAAAGAAAACAACACGGAAATGAGAAAAGTGTTCACTCAAGGAAGTTAGCTTTTGTTGCCATTGAAAAATTGTCACGAATGTTATGGGCTGTCGGGCAGTTCTCCAGCAAAAAGTATCATTACTCAGCTGCGACTGTAACACATTAAGGAAATATAAACACTATTTATGCACTACATTGAGTCTTTCACGCAGTTCACATTAACACACTGAATGAGAAAACCACTATCACAAACTTTACCTGTGTTGATGAGCCATGACACAATTTGTAATAGAATATCTCAGTATTTTACATGCGATAATATGCAGAGATGCCAACCCTATTTTGGGCCTAAGTGTAATACTGGAGGTCAAAAAGTGTAATTTGGACCTAAAAAGTGCAATAATTAAAAAAATACTTAGTGAAAGGTGATAACTTTATAAAAATTACTTGTAAGAAGGTTTATTCACATGAATAGGAAATATTCTAGACAGAAATACATGTGACCAATCATTATGAAGCTCCATACATCGAAAATTGTTTGTCATGGGACACAAAATACTTTAATTTCCTTAAAAGTTCATTGGAATGAGCTCGATGCTAAGAGTAAGACCATATCTGAACCCCTGTACCGGTGCTCTACCAAACACTTCCCTGTGAATTTTTTTCCACTTTATTGATTTTCTAAAACAAGTAGAAAAGCGTAATTTTCACAAATTAATTTTTGATTTTCTCAAATCTGTTAAGTCCCCACACCTCAGAGCCATACAATAAGATAGGCTGAACCTGTGAATCAAAGATTTAATAACAGTAGGGTCAACTGTATTTAAGTTATTCAAGTTATGGAGAATTTCCATCAGTGCACGCAGTCATTTTAGAACCAGAAAAAATAATAATACCTAAATAATACAGATATGTATGTAGTACAAGTTGTAATCATTTCATTTTGAAAGAACCATTTTTGACATTTTGACAAATGCCCGACCTTTCTAAACACAACAACCTTAGGTTTTATCAAGGTTGACACTTAATCCCCAAGACTCAACAAAATTTTCTAAAATATTCAGTTGTCTCTATTATCCAGATATAGCATCAGATACTAGAATGACATCTTCGGCAAACATCAGTGATAATATTTCAAGCATATCAGGAAATAATTGATGTTTGTGTACAGTATTGAAGTATTCGGGATCTACCAATGGATGTTCTGTGTTGTTTCTACATGGAGACTCTTGTGACAAATAATATTCAGTGAAAGAAAAGAGAAGATGTAAAACTGAGCACAATTGTTTGAAAAGTGATGCTCTAAAATATTGAAAGATAAACATTGAGGTAAGGACATATGTACAATACTTTACATAATATCAGTAACGCTGACCATCATAACTCGAGCTAATGTACATACCATCTAATCATGTACCTATGATTTTAACCCTCATATAGAAATTTATATTCATACCATAATGTAATTTTCTGAGTAAAATTGATATTTTATACTTATCCTGACTCATGTATTATTGCTTGTCTCCTTCCTTTCCCGAACGTTAATGGAACACTTGCTCCTTTTTGAAGCTCCCTTCAAAAAAGCAGACGTAAAATCACTACTCACCAAGAGTTGTCTCCCTCAGGTTTTGGCAGGAAAACGGCGCCACCCGTCTTCCACGCTTCACTCTCTCCGAATTGCTAGCCCAACACTTCGATTTACAGGGAAATCCAAAGTGCCTAGCGGGGAGGTTGGGAGGGCTTACCTCATGAGTCAGGATAAGTATAAAATATCAATTTTACTCAGAAAATTACATATTTTTCCTTATCCTGACTCATGTATTATTGCTTGTAGAATCCGACGGATCTGGTGGTGGGTCAAGCCACTTCTGGATTCCAATTAGTGATTTACGTCTTGCATACCCCCCTATGGGAACTTCCTGGTAGCACTTCAATTTCCTGCTAGGCTCTGCTGCTGCTGTAACCCTTTACTTCCAGCTTTCTCTGAGGGGGGGACCACAATTGTTAACTTTTGGTCCTTGCTTCTGTTAACATTTTTACGTGGATTTTTGCAACTCCATCTCTTGATGCAAGCATCAAGTGGAGAAGCGACCCTTCCTATGTACGAGTACGTCATACAAGTACTGGGTCTTATCACTTATGCTAGTCTGTCTTAGACGTGCATATGGACTTTAAAGCTGTAACTCTCCTGAGTGTAGGCTTTTGCAAGTCATGTGATTAAAGGGCGAGACTCTGTCTCAGCGCCTCTGTGGAACTGTCAATTGTTGTGCTACAACAAGTGGGCCGAAATGGTGAATGCCAGAGACGTCCTCGGTGGCGATGTCTCTCAGGTAGTGGTTGGCAAACACCATGTCCGATTTCCAGAAGCAGCACTCCATAATCGTCGTGATAGAGCAATTCCCATGTAGAGCGAGTGTTGACGCCAGAGCTCTAATTTCATGTGGAATGGAGGCTCTTGGAGGATCAAGTCCTGCTGCTTTGTAGGCCCGTATTATGACAGTTCTCATCCATATTGATATCGTAGTGCGAGAGATCTCAGTCTGTGT